AAAGACCGAGGCACTGCTGGTCACAGACAGACGTGGTCATGAGCTCCCACGAATCGTGATAGACGGATTTGAGGTCAAGTGGAGTAAGCAAATTAAATATCTTGGTGTGGAGTTAGATGGAAGGTTAAACTTCCACCACCACATGGCTACGGCGTCAAATAAGGCGATCGAGTGTGCGGCTAATCTTTCACGGCTAATGCCAAATGTTGGCGGACCCCGTGAACAAAAAAGAAGACTGGTGGCGAGTGTCGCCCACGCTAAAATGCTCTATGCAGCACCAGCGTGGGCCTTATCCCTGAGGAGTAAAAGATGTGTGACCATCTGTGAAAAGATACTGTCTGCGCAGAGATCGATAACAACGCGTATCATCTCTGCATATAAGACGGTATCTACGAGTGCTGTGCAGGTCCTTGCAAGTGTCCCGCCAGCAGATCTTTTGGCGAGGGAAAGGGAAGAAATGTTTCTCTTTTCTAAAGAAAGCAGTTCCTGGGATGAGGAATTAAGACCAAGCAAGGGCCTGATCCGCAAAGAAGCGAGGCACAGGCTCATAGAAAGATGGCAAGAAAGATGGGATGGTGAGGAAAAAGGTCGATGGACTTATCGCCTTATCCCGACACTCGCCACCTGGATAAATAGGAAACACGGTCAGGTTTCCTATTACTTGACTCAGGCGTTCACAGGTCACGGGTGTTTTAACTCGTACCTGTGTCGCTTTAAATTACGCGAGAACGAGGTGTGTGCATATTGCCAGTTCCCTGAGGACAACGCGGAGCACACCCTCTTCTCATGCAAGAAATGGGACTTGGAGAGGCGGGCCATGTTCGAAGGTGTAAACAGTCAAGTTACACCGGAGAACATGGTATCGCTGATGACCCAGTCAGAGGAGAATTGGCGGCAAGTCGAGAACTTCATAATCTCGGTTATGTCGAGGAAGGATCTCGACGGCCGCCAAAAAGCGTAATTTAAACAGCTTTTAATTTGTTTGTTTGTTTTTTATTAATTTATTTTGTGATTTATTTGTCCCTATACATTTTTTTTAATTTGTTTTGTTTTTTTTATTCATCTTTGTACAATTTTATGTTTTCAATATTTTATACGCGTTTATTTTTATTTTTTTTTATATATCCGTTTATAATTTTATCTTTTGACTTTTTAAACTTCTTAAAATTTTTGTTTTTTATTGTTGTTGTGCTGTTAATTCCGCTTTTATATTGAAATAGTTTTAAATTTTTTAACTATTGACGCAGGAGAACCGCAGACACAGAACAAAGTCGCAGCAGCGATAGAGTTGGAGCGCCTCCCTCGAAGGCTAAAGTCTTACGACAGTTCCGAGGGAGGGTAAAGGGCTCCAAAAGAAGGGTTACGGGTTTTAGTGGGTCGGGCTGGTAGTAGGTCGCCAGTTTATTAAATTTATTATAACATTTATTTATTTATCCTTTTTTTTAAATTCCCTTTTTTTTATTTTACCAACCCCACATAACCTTGGAGTGCGGAATCCAAGGTATCTGTAAACAGATTTCCCAAAATTCCCTAAGCAAAAAAAAAAAAAAAAAAAAGGTAATGATAATAATAATAATAATAATTTCACTATTAGTATTGACCCACTTTCTGTTATTAGGGACAATTTCGATATGAATAAATCTCTCCCTTTTCTTTTTCTCACTTTTCCTTGATATTTGTTGAAATTTCGACACATTGAGATAATTCTTTATTGTACTTTCGACTTATATATAAACTTTACGCCAGGAATTAGTCATGAGGCATAAATATTATGTCACGACACGTGTCCAATAATTCCTCGGATTTTATACAAGATATTCTACACTTAATCAATTCTGGATAATATATATAGAGTATTTTCAACGCTGTATTTTCAATTCGATCAACGAGGGGGTGTGATGCATGACTCTGAATATAAGAAGAGGCTTTACCTGCAGCACCACGTTCTGTAATACCAAGTGTAATAACGAACGTAGAGTACCACCTGCTGCTGGATCAATTATTTATCGTTGGAAGGGAATTGATGTATCTATATACATATATATCGACCAACTAAAACTCATATCGATTCCAATCACGGTACTCTTGAGCTAAATAAATAATTTTTTTTTCCTTTCTTTAAATTTTATACTCTATTTTTGAGAAAAAAAATTTTTTTTACTCTATTTTTTCATCTCTGTGTATATAGATTTTTAGAAGAATGTATTACACGTGGAGTGGGGAAAAAAAAGTTTACTCTCCAAGTGTTCGATATTCTATTTTAAGAGAGCGCGAAAAAGATTGGTAAATTAATTTTTCATCAAAAGAAAAAATTTTCAATGGAAACTATGTTTCATGTGTGTGTGTGTATGTAAACTGAAATTTCTGGGTTATGTAAGAAGCTCAGTTAGCGATGAAAATTTAATGCTGACTCGCCTCAGAGAGTTGAGTTAGGGGTCACGAAATTAACAAGAATAATAATCCCAGATGACGTAGAAAATTTATTAGTCTTGGGGCGTCATGTCAGATAGTGAGGGTATAAATTTTCAACGGATTTATTAGTTTTGTAAATTTGTAATTATTTTTGAATAATTTAATTATTAAAATTATTTTTAAAAAATATTTATTTGAAGTCCTTAAATAGTTATGAAAAGAAAGTACAACGTAGAAATAAATGTGTAAATTTTCAAAAGCCACTAAAAGTATAATAAAGTAATTTTAAACTCACCAAAGTATAATAAAGTCACAACCTATACAAGTTTCACGGTTGATATCCTTCGAGACGTTATCGGTGAAATAAAAATAAAAAAAAAAAGAAGGAAAAGAAAAAAGAAAATAGTGAAGTATTACTGTTAATATCTGAAAAGTATAAATTCAAGTGCGAGTGACTTTGCATGCAGAACTTTTATGCTTTCCTTAATAACAGAGAAACACAGGGTTTTATGATGCTTGGCGTGCAAGTCGGTCCCACGCCCCATCATAATACGACACACGATCATGATCACAATATGGTCTGGTTAACTTGTCGACCGATCAATACAGAATTAAGCTATTAAATACTCAAACTATGATATGCAACGCGATAACCTAAGAGATTCAAATTTAGAAAATGATAAAATGTCTATCACTGCGGAAGTATTTTCTCCAATTTCCCCTCTATTATCATTTTCGATTAAAATATAAAAATAATCTTTCGATTTAAACGGGGAAAAAATTGAACTGAAATTACATTCAAATTTCAGAAAGAGTTACTAAAAATATTATTTAATATTAATTTAGTGTATAAAAAATATCGAAAAAATAACAAAAAGCTTTTTTTTGTTTCTGTTTATTTTTGGGTAGAAATTCACAAAAATTTACAACAAAACGAAATGAGATTCGAAAATTTTAAAATACTAAAAAATCAAGTGAAATAATAAAATAATCCTTAGAAGATTATACCAAATTAAAAATAATTATTAAAAATAGTTAAAACTTAGTAGTAGGAGCAAAATTCGGGGCCAGGCAAAGTTTTTAAAAAGTGTAATTTTTGATATTAGTAGTACAAGTCAGTATTAGTCAGACTTTCCGAGTTTTTGTACTTTGACTAACTGTTACCAAAGTTTAATATTTTATTTTGTCGATCAAAATTTGTTTTTAAAAAACTAGATTTTTAATATGTGAAAAATGTTAAAACTTTGTTATTACTAGTGAAAAACAGTTCTAAATTTTTGTAATCTCAATGACTTTGTTTGCGTAGTTGAAGCAGAAGAAGTGATTTATAGTCAGACAATAATTTATTTCCGGAAAAAGCAGTTTCAGTCAGACCTTTAAATTTTCGTAAATTCCATTTCAGCAGTAAAAGACATTTTCAATCAGACTTTTCGAAAAAAATTTTTTTTAAACTTCTAGCATTTAAAAAAATTTTAACAGAAATTTATTACTAACAATTTTTTATAGAAAAATTCAAAACAAATACCGTCAAAAAAAAATTTTTTCAGTTTCTCTTTATTCTGTATGGTCAATATTTAAAATGTGAAGTAAAAAAAAATTTACAGTACACATCAAAATAGATTATGCAATTTTTTTTTTTTAGTTGCTGTTGTACGTTTATCTTTATTACTGTGATAACACTTTTTTTTAGTCAAAATTAGGTATATGGAGCAGTAAATTAATCGATAAAAGTTAAAAGAAATTGTTTATGCACTCGTGTTGTGAAAAAAAAGGAAAATAAAGGAAAAAATTGTTGAACAATACATAACAGTCATGTGCAGATTTTTTTTTTTGCTGCCAATCCGATAGAATATAACACGGATATAAATTTCTGATTGAATCGAATGCAATGGATACTAAAAACTAGGAAACCTAACGGAAATCGATAACCGTTAAGGTTTATTCTATGCCATTACTAGGTTTATTGCTTTTGAAAACTGAAAAGATCGTGGATTTTTGTTATACTTTTTTACAATATACATATACTATGTTTATATAATATCGATGTCACTTTATTCTCTTGTATCTTTTATATTGATAAAACATCTTTTTCTCTGTCAATTAACACTGACGTGAAAGGATCAAATTTTGAGCCTACAATAAATTTTACTTGACAATTATTTTTATCCCTCAGGATCAAAATCAGCTGGGGGGATAAAAATTTATTAGTGAAAAATTCTCATAAAGAAAATTTTGATCCTAAATGCGTAAAAGTGTAGATTTTTTTCGTTAAATAGGGGAACATAGTCAGGGTTGGACCACCCTTTGAACTTGGTTTACAACTTTTTTTAAATTATTTATATATTTATTTATAAACTGGTTGTCAAATTTAAGGGAGTCCAACCTTAACTAAGGTCCAACCCTGACTATGTTCAGACGACTAAAAAAAAAAACCGAATTGTAATTTTAATTTATCGAAAAAATTACATACTTCATGTAAATAAATATAATTTATTTTTATAAATAATAATATAATAGAATATAATAAAACCAAAAGTTGAAATTTTACTATATCTAGAATAAAATTTGTTTCCTTTTTTTGTTGACAGATATCGAGGCGATAAATATAACGACAGTAAATATACCAAAAGTGGTGAAAGCTGGAACTGATCAGCATGTTGTTCTTGATTGTGTCTACAATATGGGTAATTCACCAAAAACAGGCCTCGTAATTAAATGGTTTGTTAATCAAGATTTATTGTATCAATGGATACATGGGAACATGCCAATGGGCTCAGATGAATTTCAAAAATATATTGACGAATCATATAAGGCGAGCAGCGACCCAGATACAATGTATCGTGCTGTCAAGTTAGTTCGTCCGGGACATGAGCTTTCCGGTAACGTGAGATGTGTCATCTCTACGCAATACGATGAGGCTGATGCAAGCAGGAAAATGCTGGTTTACTGTGAGTATCCTGTGTCACTCAAGGAAAATGATATTCTCAACTGTATATTATTATACTAACGTGTATTCTAAATTGCAAATTTTAAGTGAAAAATTATAATTTCACTCACTTAAAATATTTGAAAATTATTTCACTGAAAAAAGTCTTTAGAACAAAACAGATAAAATTTAACAGATAAATTTAAAATGTATTATTTTTTTACTGATATTTATATTTGAATTTTTACAAATTTTCAAAAGCAATAGAAATATAAAAGGGGGTTTTAGGATATTAGTAGTAAAAGTCCATTATGGGTCAGACAAGCTGTTTCCAAGATATAAATTTTCTAATCAGTAGTATAAGTCAACATTATCAGTCAGACATTATAACTTTTCGTTTTTCTACTAATTGTAAATGATACAGAAAAAATTTGCAGTCAAACAGTATAATTCTCATTTGTAAAAAAAGTTTTTGAATTAGTAGGTAAATACAGTTAGAGTCAGACTCTAGAAAGTCTTGTAATTTTTTGTAACAGTAGCAAAAGAAAATTTCTGTCAGACTTCAAAGACGGAAATTTAGGTAATTAGTAGTTTTTGTTCATGCGCAGTAAATTTGATATTAGTTATAATAGTCAGTATAAAGTCAAGCAAAGTATTTAAAATGTACAAATTTTTCTATAAGTAGTAGAAGTCAATGTCGGTCAGACGTTTTAAATTCTTCGAATGTTAATAGCAGTAGTCAAAGTTTAATTCCTTCGGACAAAATATTTTTAATATTTCCAACAGTTGTAGAAACAAATTTTATTCGGACTTTTAAATCTGTTTGTAAGTCACTTTTTTTGTAAGTGGTAAAAGTCAAATTTTGGTCAGACGAAGTATTTTAAAAGCGTAATTTTGGATATTAGTAGTAATAGTCCATTATGGGTCAGACAAACTGATTTCAACACGTAAATGTTGAGTAGTAGTATATGTCAATATTAGTCAGCCGATTTAAGTGGATATAATTTTAAACAACAGTTGCAAAATTTATTTATTAGACTCTAATCATAATAGAAATGTGAAAATATTATTAAAATAAAAAATAAAATAAAATTCGTTTTAAAGATTCAATTATTTTCATGAATAATAAAATTTTCCATAGGATTGCAATTATTTTTAATACAATTTAAAATAAATTCCTCGAAAAATGTAATTATTGTCAAAAATTTTTACAAGAATTCAATTACATTTCACAAATAATGAAATTCTTCGCTGAAATTCAAATATTTTCAAAATCTACAATTTCAATAAAATTTCTTAAATTAATTCAATTAAATTTTTAAAAAAATGTAATAAAATGCATTGTAAGAAGTCAATTACTTTTATAAATAATAAAATTCTTCACAGGATTTCAATTATTTTTTATACAATTTTAAGTAAATTCTTCGAAAAATGTAATTATTTTCAAAAATATTCAAAATTCAATTATTTTTTAAAATTCATGTTATAATGGTTTTAATATTCAATTATTATGTAGAATTTTAAATGAAATTCAATTTTAAATCAATTTTTATTAGAAAATTCTACGAGAATTCAATTATTTAAATACAAAAATAAATAATTTATTGAATAAATACATGTTTTTCAAAATTAAATCATCATAAAGAATTTTATCAATAAATTTTTAAAGAATTTAATTTTTTCTTCCCTTGAAAAATTTTATTATAAAATAGTAGATATTGAAAATGATTGAATTGACGAAAATTTTTGAAAATAATTGAAATTTTGTCAATAATTTTATTAAAATTTTTGAAAATAATTTTATTTTGGAGAAGAATTTTATTATTTTTAAAGATAATTGAAATTTTGACGTGGCATTTTTAAAATTTTTTTAACATCAGACGTTCTAAATTTATTTAACATTAAAAACAATAGTCAAAGTATGTTAGTTTAAAAAGTAAAGAATTTTTATAATTGTAGAATTACTAGTAAAATTTAGTTTCAGTCTAACTTGGAGTAGTAAAATAAAAAGTATTTGTATATTGCAAAAGTAATTTTATTTTTAATTTTAATTTTAGTAGTAAACGAAAATTTTTTAAAGGTCAATTAGTACCTAGTTAGTGTCAGTATGAGAAAGGTAATATTGAATTAATTTTTTTCAGTTCAACATTAGCTTTTTTTGATGGTAGTGAAAATTAGTTTTTGTAGGACGTAAGAAATTTCGAAACTTTTTTCTAAGTAGTAAAAGTTAATTTATGCCCAGACGAAGTAATTTTTATAGTATTAGAATGTAGTCACATCATTCAGAGGTTAAAATTTTTTTAATTTAACTAACAGTTGTCAAAGTTTAATATTAGTTTTTTTAATTCCCAGATATAAAAATTAGTTTTCCCATAAGCTGGGAAATTTTAAAGCTTTGGTATCAGTAGTAAAAGTCAATTTGGTGTCAGACAATGTATTTCTAAAGTGTAAATTTTGATAGAAATATAGGAATAAGTCGATGTGAGTCGGACGAATTAAGCGAGTTTGTAAAAGTCAGTAACAGTCAGAGTACAAATTGATATTTTCTATTTTCATATTTTTCTAATTGTACTGAATTTCTAATTTAATTTCAATTAAAGTTTTACTCAATTTTCATATTATCTCTTTTGTTATTTTTTTTTTTTACTAATTTTAGATACTATTCATAAATGAGTGAAAAAAGGTAATTAATGAAATTTCTAAAGTAAGGAAATTGACATTAGAGTGTAACGAGTCATTTATGATGTTGTATTTGTTCTTCGTAAACTTTGTGGCAAAATGCATACACAGACGGAAGTTCAAAGCTCGTATATATTCTCTATAGAGGCATACACGACAGGACTCTCCGTGGTTTCGTCCACCAGTAGTAGGACATTCATCTCGCCTCATACTCGTGGTATAAATGTATATGTTCCCAACAAGATTGATTGACGGATGCAAAATATCACCGAGTAAAGTGAATGCCCACATCTGTCGCCTACAGCTTTCCTTTAATGTCACTATTACATCATTTCGAAATTCAAAAAAATCTCTTTTGACTCAAGTTTCAGTAAAATAAAAATAAGAATTCTCTCCCTTTTCTTTATCGTAAGGGAAAGGAAAGAAAAAAAATTCAAACAATTTTTTTTTCTTTTGTGAGAAAAAAATAAAAAAAGATGGTAAACTTGTTTGAAATAAATTTTTTTTCCTGGTTAGTTGATATAGTGATATCATGCTAATGGAAATCATATATAACTATATATGATTCCTAAGTAAAGAAGGTACGTTGCGGTCAGACACGATTGATTTTTTTTACCCGAAGGAACATTTCCGTAGAAAGTCAATTTAAGTAGTGAAGATACGTCACTGTCAGACATGCTTGGTTTTTTACCTGAACTAATATTTCAGTCGAAACAGTCTACTCAATTTAAGTAGTGTAGGTACGTTATTGTCAGACGCACGAGATTTATTGTTTTGAATCATTTTTTTACGATTATATTCATTCACGAAAAACTTTTACTGAAAGGGCAATCCCTTTTGGTAAATATATTAGGGAAAATAATAAAACAAGTAAATATTTATGTAATTTGCAGGATAATAATTTAAGTAGAATAGGGGCATTATAGTCAAACGTTTAAATTTTCTTGGTTTAGAATTATTTTTTACTGTTATTTTCTTAAACGAAACTTTTAACCTAATGGACTAATTGGATTTTTATTAAATGACTACACTTTTGATGCAAAATTTGAAAAATTTTACAAAACAAATTAAAAAGACAACAAAAAATAAAAATTCGAAATGAATAAAAATAATAATAATTTAAGTAGTATAAGTCTATTATAGTCAGACGTAGCTGTATTTTTAGAAGATTTTTATGTAGAGAACACTTTTGAAGCAAAGTTTGGGATGATTTTTTAGAAAAATTAAAATACTTGCCACATAAAAATTCCAAAAGTAAAAAAATAATAATTTAAGTAGTACAAGTCTGTTATAATCAGACGTAATTGTTTTTTATTAGATTTTTATTTCATAAATATACTTTTGAAGCAAAAATTGAAAAGTTTTACAAAAAAATAAAGGACAAGGAAAAATGGAAATTTTGAAAGTAGAAAAATATTAATTTAAGTAGTATAAGACGGTTATAGTCAGACGCTAGTGTTTTTTTAAAATTTTATGCAGAGAATATTTTTTAAGCAAAAATTAATTTGTTTTTTTTAGAAAAATTAAAATACTAGTCAAATGGAACTTACAAAAGTAGAAAAATAATAGTTTAAGTAGTACAAGTCGGTTATAGTCAGACGTAATTGGTTTTATTAGATTTTTATTTAATGAATTTACTTTTGGTGCAAAAGTTGAAAAGTATGACAAAAAAATTAATGGACAAGCAAAAATGGAAATTCTGAAAGTAGAAAAATATTAATTTAAGTAGTATACGACGGTTATAGTCAGACGCTAGTGTTTTTTTATAAAAATTTTATGCAGAAAATATTTTATAAGCAAAAATTAATTTGTTTTTTTAGAAAAATTAAAATACTAGTCAAATGGAACTTACAAAAGTAGAAAAATAATAGTTTAAGTAGTACAAGTCGGTTATAGTCAGACGTAATTTTTTTTCATTAGATTGTTATTTAATAAATTTACTTTTGAAGCAAAAGTTGAAAAAGATTACAAAAAAAAAAATTAAAGGACAAGGAAAGAAGAAAATTCTGAAAGTGGAAAAATATTAATTTAAGTAGTATACGACGGTTATAGTCAGACGCTAGTGTTTTTTTATTAAATTTTTGAGTAGTGAATATTTTTTAAGCAAAATTTAATTTGTTTTTTTTTTAGAAAAATTAAAATACTAGACAAATGAAACTTCCAAGAGTAGAAAAATAATAGTTTAAGTAGTAGAAGGTGGTTGTAGTCAGACGTCATTTTTTTATTAAATTTTTATTTAATGAATACACTTTTGATGCAAAATTTGAAAAGTTTTACAAAAAAATTAGAAGTCTAAGAAAATTGAAAATTCGAATAGTTGTAAAATTATAATTTAAGTAGTATAAGTACAGTATTCTCAGATAATATTTTTTAGGAATATTTCTATTTAAAAAATAATACTAAAGACAATTTGTATACGAATTTGAGAGAAATATGGAAATTTTATACGAATTCAATTTAAAGAGTATAAAAATAGTCATTTAAGTAGTTTAATTCGGCTATAGTCAGACACTTTTGTTTTATTAATTATATTTCAAAGCAATTAATACTTTTTATAGGAAACTTGAATTAAATGAAAAAAACTATTTCATAATTGGAAGCATAGAGACGTAGAGCAATAAAAGATTTAGGAACTAATAAGTAATTTAGATAGGTGTGAAGATAAAGTCATAAAAATTGATTTTATTAATTTGATTTCAATTCACTGAATACAATACTATTCAGTGAAGTTTTTTTCAAGAAATGAAATTAATAAAAGAAATAGATAAATAATAAAATAAAGTGTATGTAAAAGTAAGATTTGTAAAATTTAATAATTTAGAAAATAATAATAAATTAAGTAGTACAAATACGTCATTGTCAGACACACGAAATATAAAAAGAACTTTTTTCGCCTGTATAATAAATTATTACTACGTTCGAAAAATTTTACTTTACGAATTATCCACAAAAATTAATGGGACAACATTTTTCTTTTATTTTTCAGCTGCGGAGAAACTTTTGCGATTATCGCACTCGAGCATTGATCCAGAAACGAATCAAGTCACAGTTAGCTGTAGAGCCGAAGACATGTTTCCAAAACCAACTATCATCATTAGACAAGACAAGTAAATTTTCCATTTATCTTTTATTTTCTTATTAATGAATTTAAAAACAATTTAAAAACAATTTAGAAACATGTTTAAAATAATTTATAAATAATTTTAAAATAATTTATAAAATATATATTTATAAATGATTTATTCGCATAAATATGTTATTATTAAATATATTTATTTAACTCAAAATTGTCTAGTTAATGTTTTTTACTCACCGGTTTATAAAGATACTTCGCCTTAAATAACCGAATGCCAGACTTACCTGGAAAAAAATATATTAATAATTAATAATATTAATATTAATTAATAAATTTATTCATATAAAGAAATCTATTTTAATAAAGATTCCAATAATCAACCACTTTTTTTTAAATATAATTAATTAATAGAATTATAAATAGACTTTCGTCTTTTTTATTCCAATACGGATTTATTAATTGTAAAATTAAATTATAAATTATAATTTTAAATCCATTCACTCTAAATTAAATTCAAAAAGAGAGAAAGAAAAAAAAATCAGTAATTCTGATTTATTCAGTCATAAAATATATGAATCCTTTCGATTTATTGCTATCTTAATATAGGTACAAAGTTTCATAACAAAAGTCTTCCCTCTTCAATTAAGAATTCATTATTTACACACAGAATTATCGAAGCTGTCGATTATTAGATGTAAATCAAAAGGAATTATATAACTTTAATAATACCACAGGGAAAATTTAATTGACTTCATTATAAAGACTTAAAAACTATTACTATATATATAATAATTAATAACTCAATTAAGAAACTGACATTCGAGACAAGATCGTTCAAATAAATTAAAAAAAGAAAAGAAAAGGAAAAAAACATTTTCCCCTTTTATAGATGGAGAAAAATGATCTCAAGATGATATAAAAATGAAATAGTGGCACTTCTGTCCGCGGGGGCTGAAAAAGTTGTCGCCTATGTAAAAATTGAATGCACTGTCCCATGAAAAATCAGCCTCTTAAACTTTTTCCCTAAGTTACATAAAAATAGAAATTTCTCTCTGGATGCATTTTTCATTCTTGTCTTTTCCATTCCTACAATATCTATAGTGTTTTTTTTCTCTCTCGCAAATTTTTTTATTTCTCAACGTTCTTTTTTTTCTCTTTCTTTTTTGCTTCTCTTCACATCAAAAAAAAAAAAAAAAAAAAAAAATGTAATCTTTTCTTTTTTGTTTCAGAGAGCCAATAATGGATCTAAAAGTGAACTACAAAAATAATACTGATGGTAAAATCAGTGTTGAAGCAATTGGTGTTTTAGATATTGATAAATTACAACTGCCAATAATTTTACAATGTGAGGTCCTCATTCCAGAGGCAAATTATTCTTCCGTTCAAGAATACATTTACAATGGTGATTAATATAAATTGGATTTTTTTCCTAATATGCGATTTTTCTTTAATTTGACTTCCAATTATTTGAGGAAAAAAGAAAATAAATTTAAAATTTTTAATAGATTTCGAAATGTTACCAAATTAATTAGGATTATTTAATAACATAATGTTTCAATATTTTAAAACTAATTTTTAATATTTTAATTGCATGGTAATTTCTAAACTATCAATAATTAATAATGTTTTAATCTTTTAATAAATAAATGTTTTTTTTTCCAATCTATAATATAGTTTTTAATGTAATAAATGATAATTTCTGTTTGAATAATAAACAATTATTAATGTTTGAAAAATTGATTAATAGGTTTTAGTGTTTTAATTATTCCAAAATAATAATTTTTAATATTCCATTAAATAATAATTTTCAATATTCCACTAAATAATAATTTTTAATGTTTTAATAAATATAAATTTCTAATGTTATAATAATTAAAAAATAATTTTGAGTATTTGAATATTTTTGAATAATAATATTCATCCTTTTTGATTAGATATTTAAGTAGTCATTTTTCATATTTGAATTATTAAATAGTATTTATTTCAATAAATAATTTTTAATGTTTCAATAAATAATTTTTAATGTTTTAATAAATAATTTTTAATACTTCAATAAATAATAAGCAGTTTAATTTTTCAATAAATAATCATTTTTAGCATTCCAATAATTGGATAACAGTTTACAATGTTTATTTACTCAACAGTAATTTTTAGTCTGGCAGCAAAAAAATACCTTTTAAAGAAAAAAATCGATGGAAATAATTAGTTTTTAATTGATCACAAATTGACATTTTCATTTATTGTTTCCTTTTTTCGAATAGTGGGGCCAAAGGGGAAAAATGGCAATTTTCTTTGAAAATTTCAGTTGGCCGCGTGATTTAGCGAACACTGAAAAATAAAGCAGTGGTAGGTTTACCAGATCGTAAAAATGTCCGCAAAGTAAAACATGTTTCTGGAGTCAAAGCATAGTATGCTTGCACGACCGGCGCCTGCCACACCACTTTCATCGTTGCACAAGTGTATTTGTGTTGTGCGGTTTCTCCCCTTCCCCCCTTCTTTCTATATATACATATATATATTCCCTAAATACATGCATCATATATATATATACACATACACATGAAATGTTCGATTACTTTAAAGCTCTGACACAGATATTTTTTTTGCAGCAAAACTTGTCTTGTTTCCATATCCAAAAATTTAATTAGATATTGTTTCTTTTTTTACGACAATAAATTTTTCAAGCGTCATGAGTTTTTAATTCTTCTTTTTTTTTGTAAAAACTTTTTTATTGCTATTATATTTAATGACTTTAACGACGACGTTCAATTGTTGTTTTCCGCTTTTTTTTTTCTTCTCTCGACCAATCTTTCTTTTTATGCTATAAATTTTTATGAGGAATAATTTCTCACTCGCTACCAAAGTAAATTGCTGCAATTCTGCGCCAAACTGAGGCTCATTAATGTTATAAAATAATTTTTTTTCGGGGTAAATTTTTAATCGCAGCAATGCAGAAAAATGAAAATATAGAGTAAAATACTTATTTGAATTTTGTTAAGGGTTAATAAATATTACCAATATTTTATTGGTGGAAAAAATATTTTTAATAATATTATTTACTACTGCAATTATTTTTTAATATAGTGTTAATTTTTTGTTTATTATTTATTAATTGTTTATTCATTATTTATGAATTATTTGTTAATTATTTATTAATATTTATTAATATTTATTAATATTTATTAATTATTTGTTAGTTATCAATTATTTATTAATTCTAAATTATTTATTAACTATTTTTATATTTAACTATTTATTATAATTCGATATATATTTAATTATATAATTTATTATAATTAATTAATTTGATATTGTTGAAAAAGGTTTTTTCTATTTCTTTTTATAAAATTTATTTTGACAGAAAAATGAAAAATCTGTATTCTCCGGTGTAATTTCTTGGGAAAAAAAGAGAAAAAAAATCTGATTTTGATTTTCTCTCGGAAAATATTTGATATAAAGTGATAAACGTAAGGTACTGCTTAATTTTGTGCTTAGCTTTTTTTTTTTGTTCACATGTCCCGAAACATAGAACGTTCCCATAGGTCATTAACCACAATGACGAAATGGAAACCCAAGGGAAATTAGCCTTCGCTGCTCTGTCCTTTAGTAAGAAGAATGTTGAAATACCGTAAAATGACATTAATTCAATTCTTTCACTATAAAAAAAATATACCTACACTTGTTCCCAAGGCGATTTAACATTGCCTCAAATATTTGTATTAAACAAAATTAATTTACAAACCGAAAATTCATTATTGCATTTTAAAAATAATTTCCAAATTTTCCCCTTATTAAAATTATAAAAAATATTTATAATTTAAAAAAAAAATTTTTTTTCAAGAAACAGAATATTTATAATAAATATAAACAATTTCCCCCCCCCCCAAAAAAAAGGAAAAACTAATTTTTTTCTTCTCTATCACTTTGTTTACAGGCGCTGCCATATTGAGGTCGTCATTTTTATTAATCGTCATTGGTTATCTAATCACCAGGAGACAATAACATAAATTACAAATTCTTAGTGTAAATTAATTTTTTTTTTCCATAAAAAAAAGAAAATTTTGTATAATGCAATAATTACGTTTCGCACCATCTTTACAAAAAAAAAAGATATAGCAAAGCAATTCTTTCAAATTTGAATAAACTTTTGTAAAACATTTTCCTAAACTAAAAACTAAAATAATTTGATGAAATTTTAAAGAAATTCAAATTATAAATGTCTACCATTTTATAAACAAAAAAAAATTTATTGAATAACTCTAAAAAATTGTTATCAAATATGTCAGTAATATTAACGTTGTCGTTTTAAAGTGTTATTGCATTTTTATTTACAAAAAAAGCAAACGAGCAAAATGAAAGAAAAAACAATGTTATAAAATATATAAATATAGAAAAAAACAACTTGTGCATGTCACAATGCTTAAATTATAACAATTTGCGCAAAAGAAAATTATTTAATTTGTAGCTTGCTTTTTATTAAATTATTACTAATATATTATAATTATATATTAATTGTATATTAATTGCAAATTAATTATATATTATATATTAATTATTTATTAATTATATAATATATATTAATTATTCATTACTTATATATTAAATATTAATTATTCATTAATTTTATAATAAATATTACTCGTTCATTAATTATTTATTATAAATAAAAATAATTAATATTTCATATATATTGTCTCAGACTTGTGATTTCAAATAAAAGTGAAATCAAACCGCAATAAATTGAAATCAGAAGTCTAATTATATTTATAATCAGTCAAAAGTGCCTAAGCTTATTGCCTAAGCCTAAACGGTGTAATTACCTATAATTGCAAAATTTTTCATAAGTCCGCACATGAAATTTATTTTGCAAATAAAAAGAAAATTCCTTCTTTTCAAAATGCACAATTTTTTGGGAATAAATTAAAAAATTTAGTGAGTAAATATTTCATATGATTTCATGTGATTTTTGTAAATAAATTTTTTCATTGTAATATTATATTAAATTACTCTCGATGACATGCAGACAATAAGACCATGAAAAAAAAACATTGTACTATTATAAATATTTCAAAATTTGTCATTAAAAAAAAAAAATTCCATTAATTGCTGCATTTTTATCATATCATCGATAAAAAAAAATTATTTCTGTATATTTTTATTTTATAAATAATTTCTATATATAATTTTTATAATTTCTATAAATAATTTTTATAAATAATTTTTATAAATAATTTTTATAATTTTAATAAATAATTTTTCAGAATAAATTTTTTTTTTAGTCACTTTTATTTTTATCTAAAACAAGTTCCTTACGCGTATTTTCATTTTCAGTTAGCGATATGTGTCTAGATAAATTTTCAAATAGTCATTGTACAAACAAAACAAAAAAAAGAAGAAGAAATCATAACTGTCTATAATTGTCCAAAAAAAAAAAAAATGTCGATCTTAATTATTTAGGATGAAGAAAGAAAAAACGAAAATATAATTACGATGTGTATATATAATTATAATAAAATACTAAATATGGACACAATTTTAATAATATATTAAAATATTTGTGAATGTATCGGTGAGTGAAAGAATCGAAGTTCTGGTGCAGGGTACATACGTTTATAAAAAATAAATCTGCTATAAATAAATGTTTAAGGCTTTCAAATTTCATCTATAAAGTGACTGCAATGGTCAACCTGACGTAAAAAAAATAAAAATAAATTATAAAAATTTTTGATCGTGAGAAAATGTATAAAATACTGATGTGTAATTATAATAGTGTTTAAGAGAGTGATGAGCAGAGAAAAAAAAGATTCAATATTATGTACCCTTTATTATAAATAATGAATTTTGTTGTATAGAGTTCAATATGGTGTTCTATTTATTTAAGGAGTAAATAAATTTATCCTGTTTATATAACAATTGTTTGGGTTTTTTTTACAAAAATTCTTTTTTTCAAATTATTCCCAAAAATAATTTAATTTATTTTTTATGTTAACTTTAAAATCATATTTTTTCTTCTTTATTTAAATAAAAAATATTTTTTTATTTAATTAAAAAATAATTTTGTTATTTAATTAAAAAATAATTTTATCCACTTTTTTCTATTAAATTGAAAAATAATTTTATTATCTTCTTTTTATATTTAGTTCAAAATACGAATTTATTTAAATAAATTAAATTCGTTATAATTTTATATTATTCGCCAATTTAATATTTTTGTCCAGAGGAGAATACGATTTTTTAAATCATAATAAAATAGAAGAAAAACATTTTAATATATAATTGAAATGTCTGTTTAAAATTGTAAAGCATAAAATTGGTTTTTATATTCGCAAACGAAGATTTATTTTGCTGTGCGACTTTTATGGAGATTTAACGTTGAGTGCGTTGGACAAAAAAAGAGAGAGAATTTGAGAAAAAAAAATTGAATTCTCAGTAGTGCGTAAAATGAATCTTTTTATGATGAAAAAATAGAAGGAAAAAAAAACAGCAAAATAAAAAATAACTCCATGTATTATCGTTTATAAAAAAAGATTTTCATTATCTTGAGTATTATAATCATCTCGTTTCTTCTACTAAAATGTCACAAATTCTTTTGAATATTATACCACAGGAGAAGAGAAGCAGAGAAAAACACATAATATACAAACAAGGTAACATTTTCTTATTTTTCTTCTTATACGAGAATTTTTATCCTTTTTTTTCCCTCCTTTTTCTCTTCTCCCATTTTTTTCACGAGAGAAAAAGAGAGAAACTCACAGAAATTCGTCAGAATTTCATGAAACAATTTCAAAGAACGTCAACAGTGTTATAAAATTTTTCTCTCTATTCTTCTTACTTCAGGAGATTGTAATTCACACGAGAGAACATACATATTTCCTATAGCAATAAATGCATTTAAGTTTTTTTTTCCTCTTTTTTGAAATTATAAACTCTTTTAATTATTTTCAACTTGTTATATATCAAACAGAAACATTAATTAGAAAATATATTATTTGCGCATATAAAAGTAGAAGGGAAATTTAAAAGAAAAACTAAATTATTTTCTCATTAACATCAAAGAAACAATTTCATTGCTATATTACTGTGAAGAGATTGCATCATTCCTCTAATTAATCATTTTTTTTGTATCTTTCTTCTTGATACAAATGGATTTTAATTAACAAGATATTGTAAAAGTGTATTATTGCTAATTTTCATTACATTCATTTTGTAATGTTTTCTTTTATTCCATTTTTATCATATAACTGTAAAATATTGTTTCGTAATCATTAAAATTTCACAAAGTATTTTTGTTTCTTTTTGTTAAACTATTCAATTGAATAAACGGACAGCAAAGAAAAAGTTTTTTTTGTACAAAAATTAATAAATATAATGAAATTTAATAACATGACAAGAAAAATTATTTTATTATAATTATTATTATTTATTATTTTATTATTATTATTATTATTATTATTTTATTATTTTTATTATTTTTATTATTTTTATTATTTTTATTATATTTATTATTTTTATTATTTTTATTATATTATATTGTCGGAAAATTTATAGTAAATTAAAACAAAATACTATAAAAAATAGTGAATAATTTATAAAATTTTTAAAAAATGGCAATAATATTCTGAATTAAAGTTTTTATTATAAAAAAAGGAACATAATGGCAGAAGATAATTTGACATTCTGGCCGCAAGCTATGTTGGCTATTTAGTGCAAAGCGGTATTTTAACAGAGAGTACAGAGGCAATTTATAATGTCATGCAAATATGTGAAAGGAATTTTAACATGTTGTTTGAGATCGAAATAATCAATTAATTTATTATGATTTTTAAAATTAACAAGCAATTGGAGAGTGACATTTTATTAAAGTTAATTTTCACTATATATTATAAAATACAGTATTTCATTAATCAATAAACGTTTAAGTGTCACACAAGCTTCTTTTTTTTATTACTCTCTATACGCGCATTTAATTGTAAAACTCTATTTGGAAATTGAAAGATTTTAAATAAAATTTTATTGACCTGTAAAACTCTTCTCTCGCATCACAAAATGAAATAAGATATCACACTATTACTGTTTTTCGATTCCCTTTTTATTTTGTCAAACTTTCATTTATTTTAAGCTGAACGCGAAAAAAAAGTTTTAATATTTAAAAATAATGTGATTTTCAAAAATCACTTTCTTTTCAAATGTTATATATTCAATAGAAATAAAAATAAATATAGAATATTTTTTACTAAAAATATTTTCAGTAAACATAAAAAAAATTGTTTGAAATTTTTTTTCGATAAAGAAATAGGTACATTTTGTCAATTCCTTTTTCGATTTTCATTTACTTTGGAAATGGAGAAAAAAAGTTGTTTATATTTTTTTTCTTATTTGCATATAACCAAAATATGTCAAAATGTTAATAAGCTCGGGGAGAGAGGGAAGGAGGGAAAATAAACTAAACATGTCGTTTCGTTGGCAGTTGTCTGATTTGTAGTTATATGGCATGCTTGTTGAGTAGAAACTGCCTTCATGCGCCGACTATAAAATATTCTCAAGCTTTACTTTAAAGGGGATGCTCAGAATGCTGACTATAAATGAACCACCTCAAAGTAAGAGAACTACGTGGAAAATAATAAAAAAAATATACATATAATATTTATACAATAAAATGAAAGAAAAATGAATTTTATTTCAACCCCTCCATTAAAAATCATACCAAGAAACAATTCTTATGAATAAAAAAAAAATCGACTCCTTATTACATTTATTTAATATAATTGTACTTTTTTACAATAAAAAACAATTTTTTTTGCAATCAAAAAATGTATTTTATTCAAATAATCGATTACTTTTCTATTGACAAATAAACATTTGCTTGAATCAAATAATTTTGATTTAAATCAATTAAATTATAATTAAACCTATAATTTTAGTATTTGAAGCAAATACCAATTAATTGACTGAAATAAAAATTATTTGATTTAACTAAATATTTAATTGATAATAGTCAAGTAATTAATTATTCAAATCAAATAAATTTTTCCCCAGTGAAAACTGCTTAGAAAAAGAATGTGTTTAATAGTTCTTTTATTATATTTTAATATTTAAAACATTAAAAAGAATAATACGATACGAATCAAAATTCTCTAATTAATTGATGTTTGATTAAAATAAACAAGAAAAAATGTACATTAAAAAAAATACTTTTTCGTTGAAAAAGTTTTCTATATAAAAAGAAAAAAAAATTTCTTTAATTGCAAAAAGAAATTAAACTTTTTCAAATAACGAACAGAAATTCATTAAAATAAAAGTTTGAAATATATATTTTTTTCAGCTAGAACCTTCAAAGTGAAAACTAGATTACATTCTTTTATCTTTTCAAATAAAAAGAAAGATAAAATTTAATCTTTCTTACAGATAGAGAAAATGGTAAATTTCTCTTATCTTTCTCTCTCTCTCTCTTTTTC